CTGCCCCCATGTATGTTTTTGTCTGGGTATTACTGAAGAGAAGAGGAAAAGCCGGGGGGGGGGGAGCCAGGAAAATAATTTGTCCTGGTTTTGTGGTCTGAGCACAGAGTGCATGTGTGCCACGGGGTGCGATAAACAAGTTCTCCCTGACTATGGGAACTCCTTTCTGCTTCGAACAGTCCAGTCCCCATTCCACTTGTTCTTTTCTAGTCCTTGGAAAAGTATTTCTTTACAGGCCCTATTCTAAACTACTCTCTAAAAGAAGCAGAAGACCTTGCTATCATGGCCAGGGAACTCCTACCTCCCATGAGGGGAGGGGGGACAGGCCTGTGACTAAGTCAACAGCAACTCTCCCCATGGGTGTGGGTGTCTGGGTTCACCCCTACCACCCACTGAAAAGGGATTCGGGCCTGGGCCAGGCCTCCCTGAGCAGACAGAGATGCCTCAGGAGGGATACTGGCACAAAAGGGGTTATTTGAAAGGAAGTGTGAAAGGGACCAAGGCTATTGGCTGGGAGCTAGCCCTGCCGCCTCTGCTGACTGCACCTTCCATGTGTCCACTCTTTCCTTTCTCCATGCCTCACTTTCCAAAGCTTGCTATTCACACCACAAAGAAAAGCGATCCCCAGGCAAAGTTGTTTACAGTATTTTATGAAAGTTTGAAGGGGAGGGGAGCAGAAAAAGAAAAGGGATGGATTGGGGGTCAAAGGGGAGGGGGCCTGCTGCAGAGCAGAAGTGAAGAGAGAGGGGGTGAGAGAAAGAGAAGGCAGGCATGCATGAGAGTCCCAAGCGGTGCCAAGCCACGAAAAAAGGGCTGCTTAGGGATGGGGAGGGAGTATGCCAGAGCCTCACAGAAAAGGAGAAAGAGCGGAACAGGAGCAATGGCTGAAATTGAAGTGCAAATGGACTTTGGGTACTCCTGGCAAGGGCTGCTGCAAAGGGAGCACAAAGGGGTGCCAGGGGAAGGCACAGGTTCTGAGGAGCTGGGGAGTTGTAAGAGAGCTCCTGAAATGCTCTGAGAAATAGATAATAAATAAATGCCGGGTGTTAATATTCCGGGGGGGGCACAAAGGTCTTTGATTTGAGACAGTGAAATACAAAACAGGACACACACACACACACACACACACACACACACACACACACACACACACGGCAGATCCCCAGAGAGACACAGAGAGTCACACAGAGAAAGACAGAAAGGGCTCTGGGAGGGGGGGTGGAGGAGTGGGAGGGGGTGAGAGAGAAGGTCTCTAGCCAAATGGGGAGACTTGGCAGGTGGACAGGAGCAGCCGGCCAGGCCATAACTGCACTTGCTGTGTCTAGTCTATTGTTGTCTCAGTGGGGGCAGGGGGAGTTGTTTGTTTGTTTTGTTGTTTGGCCTCTTTGTCTCTTTTGTTCCAAGCAGTTAGTTTGCTCCTTTCCCAGACACTGGGCTGATAGAAAGCCTTTATGGATTTTTCTTAAAGGGACAGAATCAGCAAGTGCACCCTATTACCCATTTCTCAGTCGCAACTAGTTTCTACCCAAATAAATGTTTTAGTTTCTTTCCTTCCTTCCATCCTTCCTTCCTTCCTTTCTTTTTCTGTTCCTATTTTCAATGGAGAGTCAGTGTTTATGCTGTTTTGGTCCTGATGAACAGGAATAAACTAGTCAGTTTCTTAGTACCCATTAGGGCTCCCCCTCCATGATTGTCAAAACTTAAGGGGGAAGGGAGAGAAGACAAAAGCAGGAGAGCCCTGCACACAAGTTGAACACGAAAATGAGAAACGCAGACACCACTTGCTCCTTTTTCCTCTGAACCTAGGCTTGAGGATTAGACAAATGTGAAGCCCTCATTGAGCAGAATAGGGGCTTCCAAAGAAGAGGTTGGTGGACGCCTCCTCAGCCCAGCTCCCTCTTCCCAGGTTCCCACATGGTAAGCAGACCTCTGAGGGTCCTGAAGTCTGCCCTGAGTGCCTCTCCAGCTGGGCTGCACCAACCACAACACTTAGGCAGAGGTGACCCTGCTAAAAGGCAAAGGTGCTAAACTTAAGGCTTAACGTGGGGGAGGGGCTACCCTCAATAGAGATGTAGATGAGACAGACAGCCCTCAGCCTGACTTTCCCCTAGGAAGAACTCCAGCCTCCTGTCCTGTCTGGCAATAATTCAAAAAGGTTCAGGTGTAAAGGAGATAGCTTCCAAGCTTCCAAACGGGATTTTTTTTTAAAAAGAAGAAAAGCCCGCAGTCTGTGCCTCTTCCCATTCCTCTTCTCTCCGTGTCCCACTCCACTCTGGTTCTTCCTGGAGGAGCCCTGTCAGCAATTTCCTGAGAGCTTTTTTAACATCTAAGGCAGCTGTTACTCACCTACCTTAGCCTCTCCCTGAGACATCTAAAGTCCCGGAGACTCGAAATAAAGGCGGCAAAGTGTCCGAAGCTCTAGCCCGCTCCACAGCGGTGGAGATGGGAAAGGGATTGGACTCGCTCCTTTGTGAGGGAGATTGCTTTATATTTGTAGCAGACACAAACCAGAGTGTAGCTTCTTCCCTGGAAGTGCTTGCTAGCTTCCACCACGGTGGATTGCTGCAGACAACTGAAGTTGGCTTTGCCGGGTTTGGGTGTTCCCCTCCACCCGATCTCTGGAGTGTTGGGAACTAGAAAGTCAATTCCGTGGAGTCTTCAAAGTTGAGGATAGCACAGGTACCTCAATTTTTCCCTTCCCATGCCCTCCCCAGGAAAGGCTCATATCAAAGCCAGAGCAGGAGTCTCCTGTTTGGCTTGACGAGTTCAGAAATCTATTTTTTTCTCCCAGGTAACCCTCAAGGAAGCTAGCTTGCTCTAACAAGGTTTTGGCTGCAACACTGGTCAGTCCATCAGGGCCCGGCTTGGGCTTGGTGGTGGGTGGAGGTTTCCTGGGCTTGCCGAGTGGGTGTGAGTTTGGTTCCTGGAAGGCAGAGTTTGAGTCAGGTTTGTGTGAAGTGCACAGCAGGGAACCCAGCAGGAGGCCCTGAGCTCCTGGCTCAGGTGCTGGAAGAAAATACTGGAGAGGGCCCTCGCAAAGGGAGGAGGGGGTGGGGAGGGGGAGGATAAGATCCCCTGATGCTCCTGCAGGTGCGTGTAGTTTCAAATTCAATATCACAGGGTTGCCATCTAACCCTGAACAAAAAGACAAAGCTAATTCAGATCCACCAGACATTGGTTCGTCCCGGTTTTGCCATGAGGCTGTGACTCTGGCCAGGTGTCTATGGCTAGGGATAGGAGTTCACTTGCCACGTGGGAGAATCAAGGCTAAGCGGAGGTCATGATGAAGTTCCATTTCAGGCCTCAAGTGGAGGTATTTAGAAAAGCTCAGCCCCGGGATTTCATTCTGTTCCTCACAGGCTTCCCAGAAACGCAGGAGATCTGTTTTCTCTGGAACTTTCCTATGGGCTTCCTGATTTGAAAGTTGAAGACTCAGGCTAGTAAATTTGGACCCCCGAATCTCAGACTTCACCAATTCTAGACAAAAGAACAGATTAAGCCACAAATCAAGCAAGTTGAGGTCCTGCCTGAGTTAGAAGCCTCCTGCATAGGTTTAGCAACTCTAAGTTGGGCAACCCCAGGGGAGTGAACTTGGTTACCTCCAGTTCTCCCTGTGTGTCAAGAGCTCAGGGCAGTAATAATAGGACAGTGCTATTTACTCCTGTCTCCTAAGTAGCCGCCCTCACGCACAGCCATGGGGTGTGTGAGCTGAGCGAGACAGAGGGGGCACCGCAGGACTACAGAACTAGACAGTGGGGGAAATAGGGAGCCCCTGGGTCTCCACGGAGAGACAACTCGCCCTGCTAAAAGGGTCCATCCTCCGAGCTCCTAACTGGAAAACCGGAAAGCAATGCTCCAGGCTCGGGCAGGGTGGAACCTTAAACAAAATTAAAGCAAGGCAGAATACATTTGAAACCCAAACTGCAAGTCCGAGAGTCCCCGCTGAAAGCAAGATGGGGGAGGAGAGGGCAGAACGGCAGAGGTCCTCACACAGGAGGGAGTGCAGACAGACAGAACTCCGTGGCTAGCACAGTTGGTGTCCTTGGGGACTTCTGCTGTCCTGCCAGCCGGCAAGGTTTGGACTGGGGAAAGGGGAAGGTGACTGGTGGGTGGAGAGAATAGGGGAAGAGGGAATGGGTGGCTACTTTTCCCTCCTTACCAGAGCCAGCTGGGACGAGCTTTAAGAAGTCAAAGCACCAGAAAACTTATCTCTGAAAAAGTTTAGGTAGCTCGGCCAGTGGCAGGGCCTCGGAACTAACCAGTGCTTGGTGGGATGGGGAGCAGGAAGGGAGGCTCTTTGGGAGACTGGAGAAGGATCGAGGTCCTGCTGTTAAAAAATAAGGACTCCGGGGTCGCTCCTGAGAGAGTTAGGGGGCTGGACTGGTTCCTTAGGAGAGAGATAGGACAAGGCCAGAGGTTCCAGGCTGAGAGGGCACCTCTGAAGGCACTGCCAGGCAAAGGCTCAGAAAAGGAGCTCGGAAAGCTTGTCTGCCAAGTCACTGTTAGATCCTCCCGCTGAGGGGCCGAGTCCCCCATCTCCCCCACCCTGAGAAAGCGGTGCTAGTCAGGCGTCTTTGGGTCAGAGCTAGCGGTTTCAGGACTTCGCTTTGGGTCATTGCGCACCACGTGCACCTATGGCTTCAGGCAAAGGATTCCGGCTAGCACTCTCTTGAGGGAAGAGGGCAGTGCTGGTCCCAGATTGAGCAACACTGCGGGTAGGGAGGAGTGGGCCACCATCTTCTTCCTGTGCTCCAGGAAGGAATCACAGCGTGCGAGGTTCCACACTCGGCCTGGCTTGTACCTTTCCTTTACCACACATCACCAAAATGCAAAATTCAATTCTTAGGCTCCAAGCGCAGCGCACCCCTCCTTGCCCAGGACTAGGGCATTTAAGAGGGATCTTCCTATCTCTCTAAAACCGAAAGGGTTCTTTGGTGTAACACTTGCGGTGTGCGGGGGAGGGGGGGTAAATAACCAAATCGCGGGTGGGTTTACAGCAGGAAGCCAGTTATTTAGGCTCACTGAGCCTCCGTCCTAACGGATCAGCTCTAGATGTTGGAGGAATAAGTTGAAGAGTGAAGAAGAAGAAAAAAAAACATGGTTATCTCAAGTAACTCGCATACCCCGATTTTGTTACACAAATAAAAGTCTGTGTCTTGGGCCCAGTTGCGATCCTGCCCACGCGGCCCAGCCTTTGATATTTAAACCAGGCCAGGCGAAACTTCAGGTTGAGGCACTCTACAGCTTAGGTATTCTATCCTCCTTTCCCTAAGCAGTCGAGGGAAGCGGTTGCACTGTTCAGGGGCTAGCCAGAGACGGGACACAGGACTGAAGGGGAGCAAGCTGTAGTGGCAGCCGAGCCTGACGACGTCTCGCTCTTCGGCCTCGTTCTGCAGAAACTTAAAAACAGCCTCAAGCCGCTGCGCGCTGCCGAACGTCGGCACGATTCTCTAAGTTCGGAAATCACGAAGCAGTGTGGTGGATTCGCACGACCAGAGCGTGTAGTGCTTTCAAAAACAAAGAGCTGGGGGCAACTTGTTCGGCTTCTGTCCCCAAGTGCACTTCAAACAGCGCATTTCTCCCTATGCGGAAATTCACTCTACTCCTAGCAGGGGCAGGCGGTGGAAGCCATCACTTCGCCAGAGCTGCTCGGAGCTCCCACTTTGCTGGAAGGACCTCGCTGCTCCAGCGCATTCTTAACCTAGCCCAAGAAGAACGCTCAGCTAAACAGGGCACTGTGAGCCTGTGGGGAGAATTTTTAAAAGCTGCGGGACAGGAAGACGACCGTTGGGGCTGAAGTTTCATTTGGAAAGCGCAGGGCGCAGTCCGGCTCTGGTGCTTGCTCCCCAGACTTCGGCAGCCAAACGGGTTGTGACACTGCGGGAGGCGTGGGAACGCAGGACCCCCATCAAGTGTCTCTGCTGTGGGTTCCTGGTTTTTGACAGCGAACTCCACTGGGTTTGGGGAGCATCGATATTTGGAAGAGCCCTATCTTGGAAGATCAGAGGAAACGAAGCACCTTTCCGTGCGCGGTTGGGAACTGCCGCGTTTAGTTTACTAAGGCCATGTGTCCCTAGTCCTCACAGCTACCCTACGGCTCCAAACGGAATAGGAACAGATACTAGGAAACCGGGGGAAAAGAAGCAGGTAAGCCTCAAGTTGTTGAGGATACTCCTTTTAACAGTGAAGACCGTGGAGCTAAGCGGAACGGAGAGGAATTATTAGACTTCATCGCACAGGAATGGTGGAGGAGGCTATGACTGGAAACTAAAAGATGTCTCAGATCTCTTTGCGCACCGCACCTCCCCGCAGGTTCCCACTAGCAGTTAATCATCCTGGCAGTATTTGCTGGATCACCCTGCACGCCTGCACGTCTCCGGTTCTTCCTGACATTTCTCGTCCCTGATTACCTCCTTTCTTCTGCTCGTGGTCACCCTGAGGTTTGGGCTGCCTTGGACTTCTCCGCTTTTGCAAAGACTCCTACAAACTTGCCGGTGCACGTCTGGGTAGGCTCTCCGTAGGCGTGTCTCAGGGCTGGCCGGAGAACCTCTCCAGCCGAGAAGTCCCGCAAAATTTTTGGCGTTCGGTTCCAGAGCCCTGCTTTATTTCAGTTCAGTCTGGGGAGGGGGGCACGGACCCAAGGATAATAAACAATGCTGCTTACTAGAGATACAAACTGGGCGCCGAAAAGAACCACGTAGAAAAGCAAGCATTTTAACAAGTGGCCAGACTCTCGGGGATGCCTTTGAAAGTGACTTGTTAAGCACAACCGTTGGCGTTTCTCTGAAAATTCACAATTACGCGCACAGACGTTTTCAGAATGTGCTGTTTGGAGCGACATTTTACTTGTTGGCTTTTGCCTCTGGAGATCAGCCTGAGCTGTTGCTACCTGCCCACCCCTCGGTGCAAATTGCCTCTGCCTCTCAAGGCCCCTTTTTACAAAGGAGGGTCTTCCAGGTGTCAGTGTACAGTGCTACCATTATTCCAGTGGCAAGCACTACCGACAGCACAGACTTTAGAGGGAGTTGGCTGCCTCGTAATTTAAAGACACGAACTCTCTCCTTCCTTTACACACACACACACACACACACACACACACACACACACAGAGAGAGAGAGAGAGAGAGAGAGAGAGAGAGAGAGAGAGAGAGAGAGGAGAAAGCTTTTGGGTGCTGACTGCCAGTGGAAACTAAGGACTAAGGATTCCCGCTGGGTGCTGGTGAAACTGATTTCTCCTCTACCCGATGGCCTTGGGAAAGGGCTTCCCATCTGCTCTGGATGTCCCCTCACAATGTCAGAAAATCTGCCTACAAATATTGGCACCGAGCTGCCGTGACAGGAGGTGCTGCTTTAAATAGGAGAGAGACTGCAGGGCGAAAAGAAAGTCACAACCTTCCCAGGGACCAGACTACCTGCCTCTAGTTCCCCAAGCCCAAAGGCAGACAAAGGGGGCGGGTAGAAAAGCCACTCTTCTGAGCAGAGCGAAGAATGTACTGCGGGTTTCTGCGACCTCCGTTCAATTTTAGAAACTGCGAATACGCAGATGGGTCCCTGAGGACCAGTTGTTAAGCAGGGTGGGCATCCGACCCCTTACCTCCTAAGCCCCACCTATCTCCCAGCTCTTGTTCAGATAAAGGCAGAGGAGAAATCTGACAGCCGTTCAGCTCAGCTCTTGTGGGCAGTATGTTCCTTCTGTTTTTGTCCAAAGCTGGGGTGGGGGTCTGATTAGGGAAGATCTAGATTCAGCCCTGGACCTTGAGACAGGATTCATCCTAGGGAATGGAGGTGTGGCTATCACTTGGCCATGGATGTCCCAACCTTCAGTTATGTCCCTTCTGCCCCACCAAGGGCATTCCTCATCCCTGGAGAGGATTGTGGTGACAACTGTACCAGAGAAGCAGCTGAAGCCCTTTCCCGCCTCCCCACGGTGCTGCCCAGCAAGCGAGCTGCCCAGCAAGCGAGCATACACAACACTCACACGTCATTTGTCTCCTGACTTTCTGGACTTGCCTTGGAGCTCACTCAGCTGTCTCTGACTGACCCTCTCAGCACAGCCCATGGCAGTGTCTCCCAGGAAGCATCCTGTCTGCTAAGACCAGGCTCGCCTCCTCCTGTAGAGCAGGACTAAATTGGAGACAGGATCTCAGGCAGTTTTGAGTGATGAGCGGGTTGTCTCGACTTCTCCACAGGTTTTCAAATCACCTGGTCTCTGACTTGTCATTGTGAAGAAACCGAGGTGCAAAGGAAGGGTTTGACCTAAGGACATGGAGAGCTGAGAGCAGGGTCCACAGAAGCTTCTGGATGTCTTGAGTGTGGAGTCCATTTGCTCAGTCTGAAGGGGAGGGGGGGATAGCTGACAGTGAACTACTGTTCAGTGAGTACCAACCGTGAGGCAGAGCACATGCCACCCAGACACATTGCGTAAGTCAGCTTTCCAGAAACCCCCAACAAAATGTAAAAGATACGAAAGGAAGGCTGGCATACATCAAAATTCCTCAAATAACATAAAAGCACATAAACAGAAAGCAAAACCTCCAACTCTACTCTGTCCCCCCAAATAACATTTATAGCTTTCATTTCAGTGAAACGAAATTCACTGAATTTCAGTGGCTGGCTGTGTAGCTGACAGATGTTATCGTCATTGAATGAACGAGGAAAATAGGGATCTCAAGCTAACACAACATGGCTACCTGTCTCAGCCCTTCCCATTGCTCTACACGAGCTATGAAACAGTGAAGCTGTGGAGAGCAAAAAGGTCTATGAGGTGAGAGTGAACACCAGCTCCCCTTTGTCCTGCTATTTCCTTCTGTCCTATTCAGCAGCCAAAACTTGCAACATGTTTCAGAAGCTGAGACCATATTAATAATTACTCATAATAATTGTATTCTTCCTAGGCCTTGGTGTAATTACAAACTGTCCTCCTTGAAGCCTAAGATCCTAAGACTGCTTCCAGCCTGTGGTAGGCCAGCACTGGGGCATGCCTATTTAGCCTATTCAGCTGCAGATTTCCCTGGCTGTCCCTGGGAGTTGTTGGGAGACTCCAATGAGAGGCAGACAAGAGGCTGTGCTGCTTTTCAAAGATGCCTTTAGGAACCTGCATACCTGCGTGCAGTTAGAACAATGGAGAAATAGGGACTTTTTTCTTTTCTTTCCTTCCTTCCTTCCTTCCTTCCTTCCTTCCTTCCTTCCTTCCTTCCTTCCTTCCTTTCTTTCTTTTTTGCGGGATGGTGGGGGTTGTTTTACTTCTGGAACTAGCTATGTAGACCAGCCCCAGCCTGGCCTCAAATTCACAGAGATCTGTCTGCCTCTGCCTCCTGAGTGCTGGGGTTAAAGGTGACAGCCACCACACCCAGTGAATCTGGGGACTTTGCAAAAGGCTGTGCTTTGGGTGCTTGATGGAGACAAAGGGAAAGGAGCTGCTCATTCATCGGTGGGGAGGGGAGCACTGGGTCTTTGATGTGGGAAGACTTCTACATGTGTGAAGTAGATGTCTTTCTGCTGAAGACAAGCTGGTTAGGACTTAGAGATGCAGGCATACTGTACAGAGTGACTGGCTAAGAGCAGCAGAGGTGCAGCCCGGCAGATGTCTAAGTCCATCCCTTTGGTAAGCATCCACTACTGAGGGCTATTTATCCATAGCTAGGTGGGGAAGCACACCTGTAAGAGGGTAGCAGCTTTCTAGAAACAATGATTTGTTACATTCGTGTGTGTGTGTGTGGGGAGGGGTATATGTCAGCTCCCACATGATGCTCATTTTGTTTTGATTTAAAACCAAACCAGACCTTTGCTTTGCAACTTTCTTTAATTTGGGGACCTGATGAGAAGATATGATAAGAAATGATAGGCCACTCACTGGTAGGGTCTCTTACACTTAGCTGAGGAACCACAAAGGGAAGGGACTGTTGGCCCTTCCTGCTAAATCCTGCAGCATGCACACATCTGAGAGATGTGGGGAGAATCTGAAGACCTCTGGGAGGAAGGAGAAGAGATAAAGGAGCCTAGGGAGGTGGCTGATTCCAAGAAGAAACTGTGGAAGTCAGAGGGGGAAAAAAAAATTAACTTTCTTGAAGGCCCAGGCAGGCTTCAGAGCCTGCATTCAATGCTGGCCAGGACAAAGGATACTGCGCCCCCTGGTGTTAGCCTCACATCAGCGTCCAGAGAGCTGCGTGGAGACCAGCAGCCATGAAGGGCCTAAACCAAGCACAGGTTTCTTCTGTTTGCTAAGCCAGTTGGAGTAGAAGTGGCCTTTCTTTCTTAATTCTGGAGTGTAAGTAGAGATTCTGCTGTAAAGAGAGCCAGGATGTGTGTGTGTGTGTGTGTGTGTGTGTGTGTGTGTGTGTGTGCCCATGCTAGTTTATTTTACTTGGTTTTCTTTGCATACAATTTAAGCTAACAGGACAAACCCTGCTTAAAAGCAATCCCTTTGGATGGGTAGTACACTGGTCTGAAAACAACAGCCTCTGCATAGTAGGTAAGGTTCTGGTGCGGGGTGGGGGAGGCATCTAAAATTTCAGAACCCCTTGCTCCTCCTCTCGAAAGCAAATGGTTTTGAGTAAGCTGTTCTACGGCTCCTTTAGATCCCAGTACCGAATACGCAGCCCACAGAACCATCTTTTCTCAGAACCTTGCAAACGTGATTTGTTAACGTCTGTGCAGGTGCAGGCGTGTTTCAGCATCCAAAGGTTCCTGATTCTGAGCAAAGATTTTTTAAAAGCGCAAGCCGTATCTCTTCTCATCCCAGAAGCCCCTCACCCTCCAGACTCACGGAAAGCTCAGCTAGGAAGCTGCCGAGCGAGCACCCCTCAGTCGCTGCTATTTCTTTTAAAAATAAAGTACTAAATGTTGTGCTGGAAATTCTGCTCGGTGTCGAGTGTGGTAGGTGTGAAGGCATGCTTTAATTGTTCCAGGCACTAGACCAAAACGTCCCCAGAATTAGCAGAGTTTTCAGCTATAATCTGGCTAACATTTTTCTGCAAAGAGGTAGGAAGACCAGACTGAATTTCCATTGAAATTTACAGCCATTCCTCATCTAGTCAGGTGATCAGCCCCAAGGAAGAATTATGGCGCCACTGAGAGTTTTCCACTCCTCAAACCTGTATGTCCTGTCTCCGGCGTGAGCAGTCGGTTATGCCTCACGGCAGCTCCTTCCTGCGGCACTGCTTCGACTGTGATCTCCGTATAATGGGCACAGCTTATTAATATCACTGTTTATTATGCAGCTCATGATTGCCCCCACAAAGATCGCTCGAGCAGCAACCTTAGTTCTGTAGCTGTGACTGAGCATGCAGCTGTTGTTCCATAGGAGAGACTCACGGGTCCATATACTGTCTGGAAGAACTGATCTCTCTCGGTGAGAGGTGAGCCAGGAGGAAGAACAGCCCTCCACCAGGAGGAGATGGCCTGTGGTGAGGAGGGTTTACCAGATGGCTAGTTCAGTGGCTCAGAGTACTGTGTCCCCGTTTAAAGGAAAGAAGCATGTTATAGGTCAAACTGCAGCCTTCCAAAATTCAAGTTATAGCTCAGATTCCCAGGGCCTCAGAACAAAGCTGGTGTTGGAGACAGATTCATTTATTGATTGGTTTCTCTGTTTATTTATTGTGCGTGCGCACATATGGAGGTCAGAGAACAGCTTCCAGGGGTTGGTTTTCCACATTTTGGGTTCTGGGGAATAGAGTCAGATCATCAATCTTGGCAGCAAGCATCTTTACCTGCTGAGCTATCTCATCAGCCCCAGGAGAGAGGTTCTTTAGAGACATAATTATGTTTCAGTAAAATCAGCCTTAATCTAAGGTGACTGATGGGGTCCAGATACAAAGATGTTGATGCAGACATGGACAGAGCGAGACTACAGGAAGATACAAGAGTAAGGAGACCAGGCACGAGCCAAGAAATACCCTCCGAAGAAATCAACCCTGCTGGTCACAGATTTGAGACTCAAACTGAGAGGTGATAGATTTTTTGTCTTTAAGCCACTGGGTTTTCTAGCATTTGATTATGGCAGTTCCATCAAACTAACGCAAGCTACTATTTGGCACCAGCCAATTATGGGCAGCCATTTGGAGATGCAGATCCTGTGTCAACAGATTTTCCAGTGTGAGTGTCTTTTATTTTTAAATTTTTGCAGGAGGGCTGGCCTTTTCAGGTGTATAACATGAACAATCATACAAGATCCATGACTTAAAAATGGCCCATGCTTGTCTTGATGTTCTGCTGTCTCCATCTTCCAATTTTTCATTTCCAGCAGGGATCTGGCCTTTTCATTTTTGACTAGGCCTCCAGACATCATGGAGTTAGTGTTGTGGACAAATAGTATGAATTTTAAGTAATGTGTGTGTTAAAATTATGGGTGCGTCCCCCTCCTCCCCCGAAAAAGCCATGTCAGGCACTAGAGGAACCGTGGGATACTGCACTGAATTTTTTTGTTGCGAACTGAATTAAGATTTTCAATCTCTGATCATCACTGGGAAAGGATTTCTAGAACCTAGAAGCTCACCAGGAGTGGAAAAAAGATGTTTGTACATCTCTAGGTATGACTCTTGGAAATGAACTAATAGGACCCTGGCCAGTTGTTTTTTTCTTGAACTTCACAACACCAGTGTCTTTTTTAAAAAGCTAAAGTATTTTTTATCTCTGTGCGCAGGGTGTGCATATGTATGCTGTGTCTGCACACACATCTGTGTACAGGCCAGAGGCCAGGCGTCTTCCTCAATTTCTCTTCATCTTATTTTTTGAGACAGTGTCTGGCACTAAACAGAGCTCATCAATGGTCTAGACAGGCTGCCCAAAGAACTCTGGAGATCTTCCTGTCTTCACCCTTGCCCCCAGCCCTTAAGATTACAGACACATAAGCAAGAATACCCTTATATGGGTACATGGTACTGACTTGGAATCAGGTTCTCAAACTTGGGTTACAGTAGGTACTGTACCAATTGAACTATTTCCCCAGACCCTCGGTGGAGACTTTGTTTTTTGTTTTTTTTTTTTAAGATTTTATTTATTTATTATGTATACAACATTCTGCTTCGGTGGAGACTTTGGATGTTAGGAGTGGAACATCATGCTTTAAAAGGGCTACGTGTTAAGTGGGACAGTCAAAGGTTAAAGATAGCTTTAATTGTCAACTTGACATAACCCATAATCACATGGCAAGAGTCTCAATAATTGTCTACACTGGGATGGACTGAAGACATGTCTGTAGGGGATTGTCTTAATTAAGCTTATTGGTGTCTTGGACCCAGCCCAGGGTGGGCTACCCACTGCCTCAGCCGAGGTTCTGAACTGCGCGGAGTGGAGAAACCCAGATGAGCTGAAGCAAGCTAGTGAACAAATCCGCACTCTTTCCCTCCACTCTCGACTGGATGTCCGGGGACCAGCTATCTCAGGCTCCTGCTTGGCTTCCACAGTGAACGACGGTGACCTTGAACTGCAGGCTGCACAAAGCCCTTCCTTCACAGTACTTTCTGTCAGGGTGTTTTTTATCACAGTGTCAGAAATGAAACTAAGACAAAAATCTTCTCCTTCTATACCAACCTGTTCCAAGAATCCTCACGCAGTTCTCCGCTGGGATGTATTTGGAGGTCTGAGCTGAAGGAGAAAGTAAAACTGAGGCTGCCCTTGCCCGGGACTACATAGCCTGAGCCATGTGCTATAGACAAGCAATAAAGTATCTCTCCATTTCCTAGAGCACAGCCTAGTAGGGGGTTATAATTCGGAGGAGAAACTTTACATCTCAGTGAAAGAAATGCTGTCATCAGTGAGCCGAGTCGTGGGGCTGTTGAGGAGGCCCTGCTTTTCTGGCTATGCATTGATTTATAAAGCACACTGACAATAATACGCTGGAATGTTTGGTCTGGAGGCCAGCTTTGCTAGTTCTGTTTGTGCCCAGCACTAACTGGAGAGTGTAACTTTAAAGGGAGGATTTCTTGTGCAAGTTTTATGCATCTTCCCTCCAGGGAGTAAGTGAAAGTCCGTTTGAGACACTCTGCATTTCTTGGAAGAAGCTTGCTATAAATGAATATAGAGCCCTCTTTTTCATTGCCGGTCCACCGGACACATGGGACGAGGCTTCCATGTCACACCAGGGACAGAGTGAGGCTTTCATTGGCCTGTGTCAAAGAAGTTGCTTCCACGCCTCTCCCCTGTAAATTCCCCAAAGTCTCTAACTCTGATTTATTTTCATTCTTCCCTACAGCTTGCATGCAGAGCGCCCTTGGAAGAAGATTGCGATGGGCTAAAAGTCGTGAGCCTGTTGCAGGCAAGGCCTGGACTTGGTGCAGTGAAGGAAATTCCATCACACCTGCTCCCGAGTCTAGGAATGCCAAGTTAGCCAGCTCCCACTTCGCCCCAAGAGTCAGCCTCTCCTCCCCCGTTACCAAGAGACAGAAGAATTTAAGAAAAGGGACGGACCCCATACTTAAGAGGCTTGAAATTGTATACCTGACATTTCTGAGTTCAGTTATAAAATACAGCCCCCTTCATCACAGGAAAAATAAAAAATGTAGTTAAAAGTTATCCTTTAATAACCATTGCACTAAGAGGAATGGAAAATAACGTTGACATAAGATGTGTATAAAACTATTCATATCATCAGCGGGGCTGGGATATAGCTTGGTCATGGAGTGTTTGCATAGCAATGGGAATGGTCCAAGGTTCAATCCCCAGAACTGGGAAAGAAAAGGGGGTGGAGAGGAGGTGTAGTCACAGCCGCATTTCCAATATAGGCAGAAAGTGGAAAGAATCCAAACGCCTACCAATGAATGGACAAGTGTAAGGTATTATATCTATACAACAGGATACTAGCCAGCAGTAGAAGGGTATGAACTAATAAAGATGACGGCACAGATGACTTTTTAAACTTCGTCCTAAGTAACAGAAGACAATCACAAGGAAAGCACCCACTTCGTATGTCCGGAGTATATAGGCATACCCACATAGAGAATGCAGAACAGTGGTTGGCTGGGACTTGGAGAGAGGACCTGGGCTTTGGGAGACAGCAGAGGTGGTGCAGATGAAAATGTTCTTGAGTTAACTGAAGTGATGGTTGGACCACTTGATAACTTCATTTAGCAACCACCGAATTTTATTTGTAAGTGGGGGCATTGCATGATACATTGACTATATCTCAATAAAGCCTTTAATAGTTTTTAAACAATACTTTAAGACCTGGACTGTCTTTCTTCCTTTGAATCTAACTGCCTTCTGACAAACGTATCCAAAATTAAAAGCAGATCGTACAAGCAGAAATGAGAATGTATAAAAATCACTGGGTTTCCTGGAGAGATTCTGACTTGAGCATTATACCCACAATGCTCATATCTACTTTTGAGCTTAATAAAGGATAAGATTTTCATTGATATAAAGTCATTAAAATATGTTTAAATGGGGGCTGGAGAGAAAAATGGCTTATTGTAGTTAAGAGCATGTACTGCTCTTGCAATCGGCCATCTTAGTTAGGGTTTCTATCGCTGTAGTGAAACACCATGACCAAAAGCAAGCTAGGGAAGAAATGACCTGTTTGTCTTCTCTTCTACATCACAGTCCAGCACTGAAGGAAATCAGAACAGATCTCAAGCAGGGCTGGACCCCCAAGGTAGGAGCTGATGCAGAAGCCATGGAGGAATGCTGCCTACTGGCTTGCTCCTCATGGCTTGTTCAACCTGCTTTTTTATAGAACCTGGGACCACCAGCCCAGGGATGAACCCACCCACAATGGGCTGGACCTTCCCCCACCAATCACTAATTAAGAAAATTCCCTACAGCCTGATTTTATGGAGGCATTCTCTCAATTGAAATTTCCTCCTTCAGATAACACTAGTTTGTGTCAAGTTGAAATAAAACTAACCAGTGCAACCGACCTCTTGTCAGCTTGACACACAAACACATCACCGTTGAGACATAACTGTTCCTTTCTTGTTCTTCCCCAAGAGCACACATTAATCTTAGCATTATAATATGAACAGTCCAAACCCCAAATCCCACAGTCTTTAAAAATTCAATCTCTTTCATATAGCCAGTCTCTTAAAATCCAGTCTCTCAACTTGTGGGCTCCTGTAAAATCCAAAGTAAATAGTTTCTCACTTCAAGAGGGAAGAACCAAGGCACAGTCAAAATCTGAGCAAAGCAAAACTCAACTCCCACAGTCTAAATAACTTAACGGCCAGTGACTGGGCTTCACTCACAGTCTTCTGGGCTCCTCCAAGGGGCTAGGGTCACTTCTCTGGCTCTGCCTTCTGCAGCACACACAGCTTGTGGTCCAGGCTCCACTGGCTTTACTGCTGCTGCTCCTGGTGGTTATCAGACAGTAGTGACAGTCTGTGCTGCCACGCCACGGGTCTGCGCTTTCATCAACAGTCTCTCGGGCTCTCTCCGTGGTGCCAAACCAATTTTCCTCCGTGACCCCTTCAGTTCTGGGATTCAACTGCTACCAAGGCTGCACCTTCACCAATGGCCTCTCTTGGTCCCTCACAGTTCCAAGCTGCAGCTGCCCTCCATGACCCCTTCATGCCTTCAGAACCATTATTACCTGGGTGACGCTTACATTACCAAGTTCAGCTGCTAGCACGAGGTACAACCATGGCCGCTTCTGGAACAACTTCTGTGTACAGACCCTGAGTAAACACTTCCCAGATTTCATCTCGGTGTTGCTGGTCTCTTCTTAACCACCACTAATTTCTTAGCTCCAGTTGATCAGTTTCTACTGTCCCAGTTAAAAAAAAGCTTTATTTCCTTGGTTCTGGTATTTTGTTAATCACAGCCAATTAATTCTTCAGCCCCAGCTAATCAGAACCACAAATTCTTAACTCAAAAATGCCCGGTAGAGTCTTTGCTTTCCCCTCAAGCCTCACAATCCAGGCCTCCACCATCTGCTCTGAGCATTCTTATCTTCCAACTTCCTAGAGCACAGCCCACTGAGCCCTCAATACTCAATGGCTTTTTAGCCCAAAGTTCCAAAGTCTGTGCACAATCTTCCCCAAAACGTGGTCAGGCCAGTCACAGCAATACCTCACTATTCTGGTATCAACTTGTCTTAGGGTTTCTGCTGCTGTGATGAAACACCATGACCAAAAGCAAGTTGAGGAGGAGAGGGTTTATTGGGCTTACACTTCCACATTGTGGTGCACCATTGAAGGAAGCCAGGACAGGAATTCAAGCAGGGCAGGTACCTGGAGGCAGGAGCTGATGCAGAGACCATGGAGGGGTGCTGCTCACTGGCTTGCTCCTCATGGCTTGCTCAGCCTGCTTTCTTATAGAACTCAGGGCAATCGGCCCAGGAGTGACCACACCCACAATGGGCTAGGCTCTCCCCCATCAATTACAAAATTAAAAAAATGCCCTACATCCTTATCTTATGGAGTCATTTCCTCAGTTAAGGTTTCCTCCTTTCAGACATCTCTGGCTTGTGTCAAGTTGTCATAAACTAGCCAGGACAGGGCCCGAGTTTAGTTCTTAGCACCCATGTTGGATGGCTCATAACCATCTGTAACTCCAGCTCTGGAGGATCCATGCCCTCTCCTGTCCTTCACAGGCCCCTTCACCTCTATATGTCACATACTCAGACATACACATATGCACATAATTAAGTACAAAATATTTAAATAATATAAGACATGCATATATTTAAATGATTCTGAAAGTGAGTTACTTGGGTTTTCCTGTCCCCTTCTTTAGGCACTAACACCCCAACCTTACCTAAAAGAATGATGACCCCATTTTTAGTTCACATGATATGGTTATTATTGACTAACTGCACACCCCCAGGCTCGATGACTCAGGCTTCATCACTTGGTATATCCTGTCGAAAGTGAAGCTGACTGATGGATGCCCCCTTACATTGACCCATATGACTCAGGGTAAACAGAGAACCCTTGAGCTATCTGTTACACTAAATTGCCATAGCGACTCAAAGCATATAAAACTAAATCAACTTAAAAGTCTTAAAAGGTGCAGTTCTCACACCGTCTTCCTTCCTTATCATTTCGCTACATTTTATCACCACCTGAAATCTTGAGGTTACCAGCATCTACTGGCTCTACAGGAGGAAACACTGCGAAGTGGCATGCTGCTGGTATCTGAATCCCACGGTCAGCGGCTTCCCCTCAGTAGCCTGGAGTTCATCATGGGGGCAGTACTGACAGAATAGACTAGTGCTGTTGAGTAGGGCTCCCCTTTTCTGATGAGGACATTGTGAAATATTTTCCAGCTCTACAGGGTGGCCCCCTAAAGATAATGCTACATTCCATTTCCCAGAACATGTGATCACAGCCTCATTTGAAAAAAGACCTTTGTATCTGTAATTACATTAAGCATTTTGATGAGATAGCCTGCATTATAAGACAAGGAGAAGGCAGGGGTGACGCATACACGTAGAGGAAGAGAGGGAGCAGTGTGATCACAGAGACGGAAGTTAGAATGAAGTTGTTCCCAGAACCACCATAAGTTGGTAAAGACAGAAACCGAATCTTCCATCTTGCATCTAGAGACAGCACAGATCCACAAACTGTGATTCCAGACCCCCGCCATCCAGAAACATGAAAAAGAAATTTCTGTTGTTCTAAGTTGTTCAGTTTTGAGCAGATACACGAGATGCCACTGCAGTCTTGTCCTGCAACGTGGGGATAAACACAGGGCACAGTCCAGCCCAAAGGGAAGTCAGTTTCCCCTGGGAAGCAAGCACTCCCTCTGTGGGGGTTTGCTGGGAGCTTTCACCTGGCACCTCAGTGCTCAAGACAAACCCGTGCAGAAATGGGAAGTCGAGGCTCAGAGGGAAGCCTCTGCCAGTGTTGGTAAGAACATGTATTAAATGACTGAGCTAACTTCTTTTTAAATCAGTTTCCTAAACCACAATGCATTACTTTTGGGGAGTATATTTAAGATGTTTATTTCCAGAATACTGGAAATGTTTAAATTGCTATCTTTTTATTGATGTGGCAAGCAGTATTAATTTTTTATTATAGAGACCATGATTTTTGGACAGTCTTAAATTTGTGTAATTTTAATTATTTTTGCCTAAGGTGAAGTTACTTAAAATTCATTTAAATACCCAGAAGTCTTTATGAGCTAACCTTTAAATGTCTTTACAAATCATACAAAGCTATTAGGGTCCTAAAGTGCAACTGAGAGGCAGAGTGTGTACATCATGGTTTGAGAGAAAATGTTCCCAAAGAGAGTGGCACTCTTAGGAGGTATGGCTTTGTTGGAGTGGGCATGGCCTTGTTGGAGAAAGTGTGTCACTGTGGGGACAGGCTTTGAGGTCTGCTAAGCCCAGGCTATGCCCAGTGTGATGAACAATTCAGTTCCTGTTGCCTGTGGGTCAAGATGTAGGACTCTCAGCTCCTTTTCCAGCACCATGTCTGCCTGCACGCTGCCATGTCCTGCCATGATGCTAATAGATTAAACCTCTGAAACTGCAAGCCACCCCAATTAAATGTTTTCCTTTATAACAGCTGTGGTCATGGTGTCTCTTCACAGCAATAGAACTCTAATTAAGATAGTGTGCGAGAAGTCCTGGGTTTGATCCCTGTAACACACACACACACACACACACACACACACACACACACTCACACACGCATGCATGTGTGCACATATACACAAATAATAAATAAAAGAAACAGTGGGAAATGGGTTTTCAGAGGAGGATGTTATAGTATTTAGACTTTTTTTTTCTTACTAGCTAAAATATTATTTACCAGACACAAAATAGAATATTCTTAAGAACAAGCAAAGAAACTACATTCTGCAAATGAAGGATTTTTTTTAGGCCATAAAAACATACATTGATACAACAATAGTATTAATCCAAATCTACCTTTCAACCACCACAATGTTCCAAATGAGGACTGTTTATTATGAAGCTAAAGGAAATTGGTAGAAAATAAAAACTTAGCTTTACAACTTCTTATCCCACCCCACACACTGTGTTAATAGTTTCACCGCCATAGCCCTGACTGGCCTGGATCTTGCTGGACCAGGCTGGCCTTGAACTTGTAGAGATCCCCCTGCCTCTGCCTCCCCAGTGCTGGAATTACAGGAGTGTGCCACCGAGGCCCACAATTTCTCATTATATAGCCCCATTGTAGCCTAGAAAATTGAAAACACATCAGGTCAATCAACAACAAAGGTAGACAGACCCAAACAAGGTTTACAGAAAAGAC